AAATGGAAAATGAACTCTAATGTCCATTCTAGAGAGTGTGTTTCTACAGTCTGGGTGGAGGCCAGCAGGGCAGATGGGCAGACAGTGTGTGGCCCCCAGCAGAACACTGAGCGGAGATGGACTCCTTCCTGAAACGGAGAACCAGATGACGAGGAGCAAAGTGTCAGTGGAGCCTGCTGAGGGAATGAAGGTTCCTGATAGAACCACACTTCCTTCAGAGACACATGGCTTTATTACAGTGTCCACTGACAACAGGTCCTCACCTAGAACTCAACAGAGGCGTCTTTATTAAATCTCTGCCTGGGACTGAATTGCAAAGCCAAATCATGTAGAGGGACAAAGATTATTATTCTTAAGAGAGAAGATTTTAGAAAAGATCTTGATGAACTGATGAATCAAACAATTTACAGGGTCAGTTTACAACATTGCTATGAGACATACTGTTCATTTTCACATCATAGAGGTATCAACAGTAGTTATCAACTGTACCTCTCGTTTTATGTCTTGAGAATAATTGTCTTCATTTTGTTTATTTTCTTCATTTTTGTGGTAGTTTTGCTTTATTAGTAGAAGATGCGACAGGAACCTATGCTGTTGTTGTTGTTGTTGTCTATCTATGCCAATGCAAAATGGAGGAAACTGACAAAACACGTGATGATTAAAAAAGGTGAAAATGGCCATCTGAGTTCCACCGGTCTTTTGGTTTAGTTCCAATATGGTGGAATTAACAAGCCGAGTGGTGGGCTTCACGTTAATCACACCTGCTAACTCACACCTGAGGCACTGAGTGTGATTTACATCTCATTACATCATCAGATTAAATGTGCTGTGTTTGTTGCTGCCTCAGACACTGAGGGGAATTTCAGGAGGTGATACGGAGATACAGAATGTTTTATTTTTAGCTTGAATTTAGATCCTTGCCAGGCTAATATTCTTTTCTAATGTAAGTCAACTCAACTCACAGACAACCCGTCTGAGGGCTAATGGCAAAATCACGTCTCCCCACATTATGTGAAATGGTTGCCACTGGTGTGCCCATGGATGTATAAAGATAACTGAATACAGTGTTATGTACACACGATTCCGTCGCGTTGAAACTTGCCGGTGGGCGTGTCTGGTGCATTAATCTCCCACCCCGGACACACAAATAGCGCGTTTGATTGGCTAGCGCTTATACTGGCATATGATTTAATTGGCTGGCGCTTCCGTCGACGTTTAAAGTTGAACTTTTCTCAACTTTCACCGCGAGCAACGGAGGCAAAGTGAAGCAACGGGACCACAATTCAGTTCGACAAAGCGTGACGTCACCCCATTCAAAGTGAATGGGAAGCGTTGAAGCACGCGACAGAACCGTGTGTACGAGGCCTTAGAGGCGGGGCCTCGTTTATTTCCTATAAAAAAAAGGGAAAATGTATTTTTGGGCCCAATGAAGTCACATGACTGACATGGAAGTTGGAGTGCCATCGTTTGGCCACCAGGAAAATGTACATTGGTGCCCGGCTCACTTTGTGGGAGCTTGCCACCAAAAAAACGTTTTCCCATTGACCATCTATTAGACTTCTTCCATTGGTGAGCCCAAATACTTTTTATAACCAACATGTCGGCTGCAGCATTCTCTGGACCTCTTCTCCGGCTCTGAACATCTTCTGAACATCAAGTTTTCTTTTCTGCAGTGATTATGTCAACACAGAAAGTATGTCTGTCTTTTTTTTATATTTGGGAACGTATACTGATAAGCACTACTCTTTCATCTAGTAGCCAGGCCATAGCAAAAATGTAATAATACACATGCAGAGATTCAACAATCAGACCGTCAGCTGCAGGCTGGCAATCAAAGGTGATGAGTGACATTGAGGAAAAAAAATGACTGTGATAACAAGACATGCCGTTCTTCTTTCCTAGTATGAGGGTAACATAGAATTACCCGGTCAAGTATTCAGTTCTTTTTATATAAAAGGTCCCCTATTGTACTGTTTTTCATCAATATATTAAAGGTCTCAGATATATACAAACATGTCTCTGAAGTGTTTGGCTCGAAATACCAAACAGATCATTGTAGCTTCCCATAATCCCGTCTGTTTCAGCCCTGTTTCCAAAGTGCTGATTCTCTGTCTGTTACTTTAGATGAAAATAAGGAGCCCCTCCCCACGCCCCTCTGATGCCCCTTTCACACCAACGCGTTTTCAGCTCCGGCTCGGAGCTAGAGCCTGAAAAGTAACGTTTTTTCCTGTTCACATCGCAGCGGCGCCGCCTCTTAGCTCCGGAATCCGGTTCACTTCCAGCTCCAAAAAATTGTTGGTCTAGAGGCAAGAGCTTCGGAGCTAAGAGGCGGCGTCGCTTACGTCTCTCTTACGTCGAGCCGGGGGCAGGGGCAGATTCGTCGTTGAAGTAGATGCTGAAGACCACAAAGAAGTCTTGCATTTCGCATGTGATGTTTGTAAAGTTTCAAAAGTCGTCCCTTGTAAAGTCGTCCCTTCCATTTCATTTCGTAAGAGGATAACCAAAGCGAACAGCGCTTCAATACAAACGGCCATTGTTGTTGTTGTCGATGTGAGGGATTTCCGCGCGGTTTGGATTTTATGAAGCAGGCACGTAAACGGTGACGTCATGACGCAGCAGCGGCAGCTCTGGGCGGTGTGAACAGAGTGGGAGCAGAAAAGGGAAATCGGAGCTGAACCAGAAAAGCTCCCGCTCGGAGCTCGAAAGGGAAAAGCGCTGGTGTGAAAGCCGTATGAGATAGATTACAAAAAACACAATGGTGCTCTAGGAGGAGATTCAGGTGATAAGGTGGGGGGGGGTTACCTTGGTTGGTGATTGGCTAATGGTTACACAAGCCAAAAAAATCGTTATGACATCATAAAGTGGCCGAAATCTGATCAGCTCATTTTCAGACAGGTTTTTATATAAATGGAACAGGACAAAAAGAGAGAGACAACTGCTGTTGTCTTTTGCCGGGCTCCGGTGATTGGCAAATCTGGGTGATGCCTTCTGATATGATTTAGCATGTTTGGCGTGTGTTACAATTAGCATACCGCACCGCCGACACACCGTCCTCGTCCGATCCACCACTCGTCCGATCCACCACTCGCACACTTAATCGTTATTGTAGTCCACAGGGAACCCGAAATGTTCCCACACAGCTGATTTAAAAGAAGCAGGTGGGTTCTAGCTCCTGTGTGTTATCTGAAATCGCCATACTAACTTTTCTTCTTCTTGTATTTTGTTCGTTTTGTTGTGTTTTCTTCTTGTTCTTCATTTGTTGTTTAAGGGCGGCTGGCAAACAGCTTTTAGGCACAATACCGCCCCCTGGATTATAAATAGTGTAGTGGATACTGCCCTGAATGACAGACTTTTTTCCCACTCATAAAAAAAGGCGTATTCGTCGTGTGACTGCATGTGCCGAACCGTGACGTCCGAACCGTGACGGTTCGGGACGAATACGGATACTGTTACACCATGGATGTATAATAAGAACTGGATACAGCGTGGGAGGCGGGGCCTCATTCATTCCTATGAGAGCTGCTCATTAGCGCATGATGATAAAATGGCCCACCTTTTGAGAGAGTGAAACGTCACAGATTACCCAGCATGCCTGAGAAGTACCCGTATGTGCACTCATAGAGCATGCGCAACTTTAACCAAAATGCTCGTTCACATCAAGCACGTCAATTTGCGTACACGTAACAGCACCGTGCGTTCATGACAGCATGGTAATGGGTTGTTGTTATCATGGATTTGATATGAACGAGGCGGCAGTTAGCAGCTAGCGGCTAGCTAGTAATGATGCTAATGTACACATCAATCGTTATGTACTTATATTACGCTGTAACAGGATCTAGTGATATCCAACAGAGCTTCATTTAGCATGAAAGAATGATTGCACTGTATATATATACTTATATACAGTGCAATAAGCTTCTTAGTGCAATACGAAGCTACAGGGACGTTAATAATGTCGGTAATATTAACTTTATTTAATACAACATTTACGGTACAAGATTTAATCATACAGCCCATGTATGATAATGAATTACAGCAAACATGTGCAATATATCCATTATTACAGCTCCGTGGGCTGGCAGTAAGACGATATGGATCCGTTCTTATTGTGCATCCATGGGTAAAGATAAACGCAACTCACATTGGTTTCTCAAACAGCATCTCTCTAAACTACGTGTATTGTAGCCTATTCACTGAATTTCACTCTGCCTTTAACGGCTCGTTGTAGCTCCAATAGCTCCAGCCCCACCCTCCCTGTGAGCACAGTGTGCTCTGATTGGTCGGGACACGTAACATGAACGTGCCGGGCGGCGCGGTCCCGTGGGTTAGATGCGCGTTCATAATGCAGAGGGAAATAACTCTCAGAATAACGCTATTAGCAAATGTTTACAACTTGAGGAATGAATGTTTTTAATAAGGGCTATACAAGTGTTCATACTGGGTAGTTTATTTAGTTTAAAAAAAATTATCCAACGAGTTACAGACCACTCTTTCCCCATGTAAGTCAATGGGAAAAAGTGTTTCCGGGCCTGGCAACCAAACGGAAGTGTAGTACCGCCGTTTGGCCAGCACGAATATTTTCATCTGAGTCCGGCGCACTTCCTGGGGGCTTGTGTTACACCCCTAGTGTTTATAGATAACATTTGAAAGGGATGAGCAAACCACTCGTGCTGGAATTCTGCTGACAGAATGTTCACCTGTAATATGGCACCGAATGTGGGAATTATTATTTTAATATTTTCTCCAAGCCTAATTCCCTAATTCTAAATCCAAGCCTATGATATACTGTCATACGAAATACTTTTCGTATGACAGATGAATACTTGTCCTGGTGCATGTTTGTAATTGGATAATGAATTCTTGTATGTGCTTCCCACTGCTGCAGAATGAATATGTGACACTGGACTGACGGTTGACAGAATGGAGCAGATGGACGGGAATGTGCGACACGGTATGGTGCGGTATGTATGTCGGCACAGTGACTTCACCATCCTACGTACATGGTCTGCAGGAGGCTCTGTGGAACCGTGCAGCCAGCCTTGGGAGGGAAGTTCCAAAACAATCCAGGCCCCATCTAGCAGCGGGTATACAAATAAAAGAGACAAGATCTACTGTACTGGTGCTGGTGCATTGCAGGTGCAAAGGCAGTTATAAGATCCACAGAATTATAGATGAGACCACATGCATACAACTCCACAGAGCAGAAAGCAGGTATCAATATAGGAGACAGGGATTAATAGAGTCCTGTGGAAATGGCCATAAAAGACAAGTTTAACAATTAATAGAAGAAGACTGTATAACTGTTACTACTCCGGTAGACAGAAAGGAGTGCAACCACACAGTCATTTACATAAATAACAACGCAGTCCCGTTTCCGAACAGACATAAAGAAGCTAATTAAAGGACAGCTCTCACAGAAACAACAGAGGAAACACATCAGCATGCAAAACACAGTAACAGCAACACTGCTTCTCCACTGGCTCCAAGCACTGCCAAACTCTATTGTTGAAAATGCCAGTGGGTGGGTGGGGGGAGGAGGGGGGTATGCGGGGAGGGTTTGGGGACTCCAATGAGCAAGAAGTGTTGTTCAAAACAGAGAGAAGAAGAAACGATAGTTACGGCTGTAACTACGGTTCTATGAGTCCCGGATGACCGCCAGAGGCGGTGCTTTCAGCACTGTATATGTCCATCGCGGGCATGCGCAGCTCGAGTACCAATACCAACAAAGTCACCTGTGACCCACGTGACACCGGCTATATCAGCCGGTGTCGTCAGAGGATCTGTTCCCAGAATCTTCTCGCGAGCACACAAGAATTCTGAGTGACAGGGAACTCTGGCGGTCATCCGGGACTCATAGAACCGTAGTTACAGCCGTAACTATCGTTCTATTTCGTCCCTACTGACCGCCAGAGGCGGTGCTTTCAGCACTGGATGACTTATACCAACAATGTCATGAAGAATCCAAGCCCTTGCTCACCACTGGAAACAGCGGAGCTCGGCAACAGGACCACGCCCAAAGAATGGGGAGTGGCGACATTGACCTGATGACAACTGGAGAATGTGCCAGAAGACACCCACGACGCCGCGGCGTAGATGGTCTCCAGGGGCACCACCCTCAGGGCAGCCCAAGATGTTGAGATGCTCCTTGTAGAGTGGCATCTCAGCCTGATGGCAGGGGGCAGCCACTGGCCCCGTAAGCCTGTGAGATGGTATCGACAACCCAGTGGGGCAGCCACTGGTTAGAGGGCATAACCTCCTTTAGTGCCGCAAGGGCAAAATCAAGAGTTGCTCCAACTGCCGTATACAGGCAGTAGCCTTGATATACGCCCTTTGGGCACCCCCAGGGCACAGCAACTTCAACGTGCCGTACTCCTGAATGTCAAAGCATGCCAGCTGGGCAGGCTGATTGAAGTGGGTTTGTGGAAGGACCCCGGGCCGGAATGCCACATTTGCCCAAAGGGCCACGCCTGAGAGTCCCACCTCGGGCATGTATTGTTTATGGAGAGGACATGCAACTCCCCGACTCGCTTCCCTGAGGCTATGGCAAGCAGAAATGCTGCCTTCGTGGGCAGCCATCTAAGCCCCACCTGGGCCAGGGGCTCGAAGGGAGGAGATGATAGGGCATCCGGCAGCAGAGGCAGGTCCCAAGCCGGAGCCCTCGGGGTGCTAGGGGGACGCTGCCGTAAAGCCCCTCTCATAAAGAGGGACACCGACCTGTGGCACCCCGCCGTGGCGCCGTCGACCCGAACATGTCGGGCAGAAATCGCAGCCAAATAAATTCAGAGTGGAGTGAGAACGTCCACTATCTAGAAGGGACTGTTGTCTAAGCAACAACGTACATGCTGTCCCCAAGGAACACGCACATTCTTGCCCCCCAGTTGGGGTAGGAAGTGCGTGAGTGCAAGCTGCACAGCCCGAAGCTCTAGCACGTTGACCTTGCGCGCACTCTCCTGGGCAGACCGCTGACCCTGAACGGTCCTGCCCTGCCGCACTGCACCCCACCCTGAGAGACATGAACCTATGGTGATGGTCTCCTGGCGGGATGGGATGGCGCCCATGGGCACGCCCACTAGGAGATAGGTCCTGCCCCTCCAGCGTGACAGAGAGTGGAGGCAATGCTGCGACACCCTGACTTCCCTGTACCTGTGCCACTTGGCGTCCAAGTGAAGGCTGTTCAGCCACATCTGCATGGGGCGCAACGACAGCGGGCCTAAGGGCCCAGCGGCCGAGGGCAGCTGCCAGTCTGCCCAAGGGCCGGAGGACCTGAATATAAGGCACCATCTTGCCCGGCCCACGTGGAAGTAGGCATCCCTCAAGTCCACGGTTGAGAACCACTCCACCTGTGCATATGCAGTGGTCAGCATATAGAATGGCAGCACCTTCAGGAATCTGTTGATTCCTCTGAGGTCCAAGATCGGGCGAAATCCGCCGACTTTCTTGCTCACGAGAAAGTACGCCGAGTAGAACCCCCTGGGCTAAGCAGAGGGTCTTACTGGCCCTCAGATCAAACGTTGAAACCTGAACGCTGTAGGCTACAAAAATGTAGCCACGGTACCCTCGCGCAGCGAGAAGATGAAAGGAACAGATCCTCTGACGACACCGGCTGATATAGCCGGTGTCACGTGGGTCACAGGTGACTTTGTTGGTATTGGTACTCGAGCTGCGCATGCGCGCGATGGACATATCCAGTGCTGAAAGCACCGCCTCTGGCGGTCAGTAGGGATGAAATAGAACAGCCAGAATCACAGAAACCACGGAATCAATAACTCTCAAGCAGCCGTGTGAACGATTAAAAACATTAGGGTCGTTTTCATCTAAAGAACAGTTAAAACTTCAGTGATGGCTTCTCATTTATGGAATGTATAAAAGTACATTTACTTATTTACTAAGTAAATATATTATTAATTTACTTAGATTTTTTGGTACTTAACTTTGATGTTTTATTTTCATGGCACTACTTCACTTCATTTTTTTTTTATAAAGTTGCTAGTTACCTATTTAATATTATGTTTTGTTATGACTTTAACTAGCCAAAAGTTAGAGTTTGATATCATTTAATTGTCATTTATGAACATTTAGGTCATTTTCTAATTTGTTTTAAATGGTTTTGAGATTGTTGGGTGTTATTTTCAGAGTCATTTTAGATTTTTCATTATGAGATATTGGATCAGCTCTATTTTTCTTTGATAATTATTCTGACATACTTTTACTCAAGTAACATTTTCGATGCAGGAATTTCACTTGTAACAGAGTACTTTGACTTTGTGGAGCTCTTTCACCTCTTTAGCTACTTTACCCAAAGTCAAACTGAAACAGAAATATCCAAATAACATGTGCATCTTCTTTTCAACAAGCCTGAATACTATTGGCTATCAACTGTTAGTGACAAATCTACTTTGACCTTTAAGAAAAAACAGGTGTTAAGCCTTTATTCCACTCTGAAAGTGAGAGCTAATGTTCATTTCGTCATGTCATTCTAACAGCTGCTGAGTCACCTCCTGTGTTTACCCTGCCCTACAGAAAGGAAGCGGGTCAAGCTAGTTATCTCCTCCATAGGTCCAGTTATGGTTAATAACCAGACTAACCTCGCTGCTCCTGATGTGACCCGCTGATTATAATCAACTGATGTGAGGATGCAGGTACATCTGAAGCGCTGTAATTCTAGTTTCTTCCACACCCATACTCATGAAAGATTCTAGTAAATAGTTAACCATTGCTGTCTAAAAAAAATCACAGTTCTAAATATGGGCTTGCTGCAGCAGTGATGAATCATGTTGAAATAAAACGAGTATTGCTCTTTGTAAATCTATTCATAAACCCTGACTGAGAATCAGAGCCGCTCCCAATGGGAAGACAGGCTCGCTCTCTGGCTGTTTGATCTGAAGTGGAAACAAAGGCAATATGTTTTATAGTTTTAAAAAGAAGGTGAAAACACTTCCAGTAAGGAAACAATCAGGAGTTCTGGTTCCGTCAGAGAATTTATGGAAGAGGACCAAACTAAAGATGGACATTGACAGGATCGCTATTCCAAAAAGAGCTGTAGGTTGTAGTCCGAGCCAAACAACAACCTTTCAAATAAATACAATAATTGTGAGGTAATATTTCAAATCAGAGGCAGAAACTAAATACATTTACTAAAGAATTGTACAATATTCACTGAAGAAAACTGTAATGTTCACATAACTGTATTAGGTTAGTTGAAAGTGATAATATTAAGTTTGAATACAAAATATTAGGTTCAACTTCACATTATTGCTTTCAATTAACCTGATACTGTTATATATATAAATCTGTTGACACCTTTCATTTAAGTCATCGTTTCAGTTTTTCAGTGTTGAGTTACTCATATTCTATTTGAGTACTTTCATTTTATGCTACTTTATACCTAAAGATTTACTTTTTACTTTCATTCGTCAGCGTTACTTACTTTAAAGCTACAGATTATTAGCTCAGAATGATTAACATTAATGCATCAATAATCATAATCAGACCCGGCGCCAGAACAAATCTACAGAGAGGGCATATGATTTTCATGGGAGGGCACACAAAACCGTCATATGCCACGGCCCGAGATTAACTTTTGGGGGTGCTGTGGGGTAGCTTGACGTTTCATAGAGGGTGCTCAAACATGTAGGGTTTCCCATTAATGTACCGGGCGCTACAGTTTAATTTTCCACTACAACACTCCCCACGCAAATACACAGAACACCCACGACTTTTACAATGAAGGCTCGATAATCAGCTCACGGCATATAGGTGTAAGCAGGAGTAATGTGCTATTTTTACAAGTGGGGGGTGGACCAAACATCCTCTAGAGGGGTCCAGGGGCATGCTTCCCCGGGAAGATTTTTTTTTTTTAAATTGAAGTTAAAAGCATCAATCTGGTGCACTTTCAGAGCAAAATGAAGAGATCTATGGATACATCTCTCAACACCCATATGAAACAGTAACTGTAAGCAGATTTACTATTTCTTTATGGATATTTTACTAATCACTCCCCTTTTAAACTGTATTCTTGTTTTACTGTCATATAGTATTTCATACCTGTTTTTACATACATCGTAGCATTAAAGTTCACAGTTTACTTATAATTTAAAAAGAATATATATATATTTTTTTATAAATAATAAAAACACGTATTTATTGGGGGAGGGCAGGAATGTCAAATGGGAGGGCCTGGGCCTCCCTGGCCCACCCACGGCGCTGGGTCTGATCATAATCCTTTTAGAAAGAATGTCCGACTATTTTTACCTTTATGCCATCATGCATTAGTCTTTCAGCTGTTGCCAGTCGCGTTCAGAAACAGCAGGCAGATTTGTGGCACGGCTAACAAAAGCCCGAACCAAACTCAATCAACTTTTATGACTTTAACCTACTGCAGGCTCATCGTTCACTGCACACGGTCTGCAGATAATTACACATTATTTTCTTTAGGGCTCTTTTAGTTTTTGGGCAATGGTGTTTGTTCAAAGTGCAACCGTTTTTTTCCTAAAGCAGCATCTTCAAACACATCAATGCAACGTTGTAATTCCACTTGTCTTTCAGCTCCAACACATACTCATGTATTTAGTTGGGCTGTTCTCAATGGCACATTTAATTTCCTGCCAGGGGCAATAAAATCTACCTGTCCACATCACACCAATGCAGAGGCTGGTGACTGTGGGTGTGTGTGTGTGTGTGCGTGTGTGTGTGTGGTGTGTGTGTGTGTGTGTGTGTGTGTGTGTGTGTGTGTGTGTGTGTGTGTGTGGTGTGTGTGTGTGTGTGTGTATATATGTGTGTGTGTGGGTGTATATGTGTGTGAGTGTGTGTGTGTGTGCGCGCGTGTGTATGTGTGTGTGCGCGTATGTGTGTGTGTGTATATATGTGTGGGTGTATATGTGTGTGTTTGGAAGTGTGTGTACATAGCATCAGCAGCAGCAACTCTTGTCTCATTTTAACATCACCCTCCTGTTGTCCTTAAACACAACATCAGCTTTAGCTTAAGAAGATTAATTATGTTTCCTAGTCAGTTTTATATTTAGCACATCACTTAATAGCCTTGAATTGAGTACAAAAACACACACACAAACAAAAAGTGCTTGAGAATCATGCTGGAGACAGATAAAGCTGCAGTACCTGTGGTGTAGTTCAGGTCCAGTGGATACAGTCGGCTGTTTCCTGCGTCCCTCAGGCTGCTCACGATGGAATAATGTACTGAGTCGCTGAGTGTGTGTGTGTGTCTGTGGGTGCACTAAGCCAAATGAGAGAGGGGGAGAGTTTGCCTCCCTCTATCTCTCTATCTCCCTCCCCGCGCTGATGATAAACAGAGAGCACGTGGCTCCACCAGTGATGCAGCACTGAGGAGAGGTGAGGAAACAGGGACAAAGGGAGGAGACAAAGGGAAGAGGTGGAAGAGAGGAGACAAGAAAATAAAAGTTGAGTCTGGCTGAGAAGATGTGTGTGTGTGTGTGTGTGTGTGTGTGTGTGTGTGTGTGTGTGTGTGTGTGTGTGTGTGTGTGTGTGTGTGTGTGTGTGTGTGTGCACCTTTGTTAATTAAGGGGACTTTTGGTATGAATACACACCCACATTAGCCAGACATTTTTTATTAACAGGACAGGGTCGGTGTCTTGCTAATAAATAAAAATTCTAAAAGCGTAGAAGTGTTTCTATAGGTGTAGAAAGCTTAAATACCCAAAAAAAAAAAAAAGACCTTTTTATACACAAAACCCAGAAATTGTGTATTTTCTGTGTGTCAGAACAGCGCTCATACAGCTGGTTTTTGGTATTGCACCCGCTCATGAATATTCACACAGAAGGAGCTCTGATTGGCTGACTGCCGGATGGTCCTGACAATTCATCCATCCATCCATCTTCTCCCGCTTATCCGTGGTCGGGTCGCGGGGGTAGCAGTTCCAGCAGAGAGCCCCAAACTTTCTTTTCCCTGGCGACATCAACCAGCTCTGACTGGGGGATCCCAAGGCGCTCCCAGGCCAGCGAAGAGATATAATCCCTCCACCTGGTCCTAGGTCTACCCCTTGGTCTCTTCCCAGCTGGACGTGCCTGGAACACCTCCCTAGGGAGGCGCCCAGGTGGCATCCTAACTAGGTGCCCGAACCACCTCAACTGGCTCCTTTCGACGCGAAGGAGGAGCGGCTCAACTCCGAGTCCCTCCCTGATGACCGAACTTCTCACCTTATCCCTAAGGGAGACACCAGCCACCCTGCGGAGAAAACCCATCTCGGCCGCTTGTATCCGCGATCTCGTTCTTTCGGTCATGACCCATCCTTCATGACCATAGGTGAGGGTAGGAACGAAAATGGCCCGGAAGACCGAGAGCTTTGCCTTCTGGCTCAGCTCCCTTTTCGTCACAACGGTGCGGTAAAGCGACTGCAGTACCGCTCCCGCTGCTCCGATTCTCCGGCCCATCTCACGCTCCATTGTTCCCTCACTCGAGAACAAGACCCCGAGATACTTGAACTCCTTCACTTGGGGTAAGGACTCATTCCCTACCTGGAGTGGACAGTCCATCGGTTTCCTGCTGAGAACCATGGCCTCAGATTTGGAGGTGCTGATCCTCATCCCAGCCGCTTCACACTCGGTTGCGAACCGATCCAGTGAGTGCTGAAGGTCGCAGACCGATGAAGCCATTAGAACCACATCATCTGCAAAAAGCAGTGGTGCAATCCTTAGTCCACCGAACTGCAGACCCCCTCCCCCATGACTACGCCTCGAAATCCGATCCATGTATATTACAAACAGGATTGGTGACAAAGCGCAGCCCTGGCGGAGGCCAACCCTCACCGGAAATGGGTCGGACTTACTGCCGAGGACCCGGACACAGCTCTCGCTTTGGGAGTACAGAGATTGGATGGCCCTGAGTAGAGACCCCCTCACCCCATACTCCCGCAGCACCTCCCACAGTAACTCCCTGGGAACTCGGTCATACGCCTTCTCCGAGTCTACAAAACACATGTAGACCGGATAAGCGTACTCCCAGGCCCCCTCCAGGATCCTTGCGAGAGTAAAAAGCTGATCCGTCGTTCCACGACCAGGACGGAATCCGCATTGTTCCTCCTCAATCTGAGGTTCGACAATCGGCCTGACCCTCCTTTCGAGTACCTTAGAGTAAACTTTCCCGGGGAGGCTGAGTAGTGTGATGCCTCTGTAATTGGCACACACCCTCTGATCCCCCTTTTTAAAAAGGGGAACCACCACCCCGGTCTGCCACTCCTTCGGTACCGTTTCCGACTTCCACGCAACGTTGATGAGACGTGTCAACCATGACAGTCCCTCAACACCCAGAGCCTTCAGCATTTCCGGGCGGATCTCATCCACCCCCGGGGCTTTGCCACTGTGGAGTTGTTTGACGACCTCAGTGACCTCCCCCCGGGAGATTGGTGTTGATCCCCCGTCATACTCCAGCTCTGCCTCTAACATAGAGGGCGGAGTTGTCGGGTTCAGGAGTTCCTCAAAGTGTTCCTTCCAACGCCCTAACACTCCATCAGTTGAGGTCAACAACGTCCCATCCTTACTGTACACAGCTTGGATGGTTCCCTGCTTCCCCCTCCTGAGGTGTCGGACAGTTTTCCAGAACAACTTTGGTGCCGCCCGAAAGTCCTTCTCCATGTCTTCTCCGAACTTCTCCCACACCCGCTGCTTTGCCTCGGCCACGGATGAGGCTGCTGCCCTTCGGGCCTGTCGGTACCTTGCAACTGCCTCGGGAGTCCCCCGGGATAACAAATCCCTGAAGGCCTCCTTCTTCAGTCGGACGGCTTCCCTGACCACCGGTGTCCACCAGGAGGTTCGAGGGTTACCGCCCCTTGAGGCACCTAGGACCTTGAGACCACAGCTCCCCGCCGCGGCTTCGGCAATAGAGGCTTTGAACACCGACCACTCTGGTTCAATGTCCCCAACCTCCACAGGAATGCCCGAAAAGCTCCGCCGGAGGTGTGAGTTGAAGGCCTCCTGAACTTGGGCCTCCTCCAGACGTTCCCAGTTCACCCGAACTACACGTTTGGGCTTACCAGGTCTATCCAGAGGCTTCCCCCGCCACTCGACCCAACTCACCACCAGATGGTGATCAGTTGACAACTCCGCCCCTCTCTTTACCCGAGTGTCCAAAACATACGGCCTCAGGTCCGATGATACGATAACGAAATTGACAATTCATGTTTCTGTGAAAAATGTTGTGTGTGTAATAAGAATAAGAATAACATAGTAATAATAATTAATATTATTATTATGTTATTAATATTATTATTATTATTATGTCTAATACTACCTACATTTCATTGCAGTTTAGAGATGTAATTATCAGGCTTTTGTTTAATACTATATTATATCATTATGTCTAATATTTCTATAATTTCATTGCACCTTTACTATAGCTTTTATCTGATAATATACTTTAAGGTACTCAGTGTTTTAGGAGTCCATATCGGTCTTTGTCTCAAGACCACTTTTTTGAGGTCTTGTCTTTGAATTGACTGCATTTTACCATTGTATTGTTCGTTCTTAGACAAGGCTGAATTTATTCCAAGACTGCTCAAGATCTTAACTGCGGGGATATTACATAACTTCCATTGTCAAATGTAATTGTTTATTTGTTATTTATTGTTATTGGATATAAAAATGCATGCCCAACATACAGTACTCTACCTTGTGCCCTTAGTAAAAATGTTGATTTTGTTTAGTCAAATTAGTCCTTCAATATGAATAAATGCTCACAAAATGGTTCAGAAATGTAAAATCAGGATATACATATCTCTCTCCGCACACATATCTATCATTGCACACATAAATGTGTATTGTTTTATATAAATCTGAAAAATTCCACATTATCCACATTTTTTATCAACACATGAATATTTATTGCTTTTCATGTATAAAGTGCTCTGCATTTCATACAAAAAAAAGGTGAGTTTGTGAATGCAGGTTGAATAGTTTATGTATACATGTAACAACACAAAATATATCTTTAATGAAAATTGCTAACACTTTAATTAAAATACTTGTGGATATCTATTACAAACATTCTTGTGTGGATCAAAAACATTTTTAGAAATAAACCACATTTGTGCAGATAGAGACATTTATATATAAATCCTAATTCAAAGCATGATTGAACAACTTGTGCACCTTTGTACATACAGTTTATGCTTTAATACTGTTATCCAGAGTGACGTGGTACATTGTTTACCACTATTTAAGTAGCATTTGCCGACGGCCGTGCTCCACCGGCGTTTCAGCTACCGTTTGCTAACTGGAGAGGAATAATTCGCTGTCTGACTGTCACACAAGCAACGTCCCCTGATACATATTCCCCAATACATTCACATGTTTGTTAGCTTTAAATGTATACTGTTTGGTAATATAGCACTGAAAAGAGTTTCTGGACAGTGATAGCTTAGCCACCGCAGACGTCTCGCTGATTAATAACAAGCTGCTTTTGCTGTACCGGCGTATTTTCAATATAATCTAACTTGTGCTGTTCTGATATAACAACATGTTTAGCCTAAGTATTAATAACAGCTGATAATCAGACAAGCCTGTATAAAACAACAACAGAAGAACGGCTTGTACCGCTGTTATGACGGTCAATGATAGTAACGGATAGTCAGCTAAAATGTGGTGGAAAATGTATGGGTACTGGTTAATGTTACGTAACATTACTACATATGTACATTAATATGTGGGGTTGTGTTATAATCACTGCGTTATCGGCTCTACTGCTTATGTAGCAACTGTATTGTTTTCTCCGTACTCGCTATATAGTTACATTACATTACATTGCATTTAGCTGACGCTTTTATCCAAAGCGACTTACTTACAAACTTGAAAAAAACAGAATCATATAAGTACATCAGGTTTCATAGAGCCAAATCATTTCAAGTGCAATCTTCATCCACAAGATTTCCACTGAGGCAGAGACTCTGCATGAAAATGCTGCCATGACATCTGAGTCCCACTATGATGACATTACACAGGTGAGTTAACCACAACTCAATGTTCGTAATAGTTACATGTTTATTTCAAGTTATAAACCATGAAGACTGGATTTGAATGCTGAGGTTCGATACACGGGTCCTGTGTATCACTCTACTGGACCGCTTTAGACACTAAGAGGACTGTGTGTCAATGCTGTTTTTCTTCTTAACGTTAAACTGAATGATCATACTCTTTAGATATTAAATACTATAATCAGTGTCTTTCTACCTGATTGTGTTGTTAACTCACAACAAGAGCCAGTAAAGCATTTTCTAG